AATGATTCACATGACAGGTTTTTCATATCTATGATGTATAATAATCATCTATACTGAGAGTGCAGCCTTGCTGCTGTTTGCACTGTTTACTCAGTCACACACTCACAGCGACAGGTTATTTAGAGTCTGTTTGGGTATCACAGCACAAGTCTGCCCAGGGCAAGCTGATGCTATTACAGTAAAGCATCAGTTTGCATTTCTATTTGCAGGCTGGTAAGATGTTTAGAGCTCAACTAATCAAAGAACTGCTTCAGCTTGCCATGTCCTATATCTGTACCATGTGATGATCACTTTTTTTTTTAAGCACAGAAAAAGCAAAATTTTAACAACTTTGGTATCATCTCCTTTTCTTGACTACAGTTGCCTTTGTTCCTTTCTGAAAAGTTTGAAACTTGCAACTTGCTCATTATCATTACAGTAGGAAGGTGCTTCAAATTAAACATACACGACTGGCTAACCAAGGGCAAAGACATCCGAGGGCACAAATCCCCAATTCTCCATTCAATGAATTAATGAATACAGAAATTAAAGAGAGCAATGTTTCTTTTGTGCCTATCAAAAAAACCATACTGAAAAGACAGCAGAATCATTTCCTATTTTGATTATGTTACATATTCCCAAATTTGCAGCGAACTAATTTCCCAAAGCGTCCCAGACTACGGGCACATTGTCATGCCAGGCACAAAGCCAAAGAAACTGCTCCACGTCAACATGCGTGAAGTCTGTAAATATGAGAACTTAGTTTGAACTCTACACACATCCTCTGTGAAAACTAAGTATTAGAGAGTATCGTAAGCCCAGGTCAGATGTCATGGAGAGCAAAGTAAGAATACAAGTTTCTCAACCTTCTGTCTTACCCAGACAGCATGGCTGTGCAAAGCCTCCCCAAAGCAGGTTGTTTCATCTGGCCTAAAGACAACACAGTGCATCTCAGCAGTTACATCTGAGCTGAGAAGTTGCAAGAACCTGGGTTTCTTGCCAAAAGGCATCCCAGAAACTCAAGACACTAGTGAAAATCAAACGCTAAAAGAAAAAAAAACTGAAACAAAAACACAAAAATATACCCACAAAAAGACCACACCACCATCAGAAAGACTCCACCACCCACTTAGTGCACCTTGAACAAATTTGCGAAATCTGTTGTGCCCACATTAATCTCTGAATTACTGCTTCCTGCACACATAATAAAGCCAATATTTGGTCCCTTACCACAAATAAGCTCAAAACAGTCTTCCTCTGAATCCCACCTCCCATCCCAACAGCCACATAACAAAACATAACCAATGCTTCTTAAAGTTTCCCCACTCCTGTCCCACAAAGAACAACACAGTGAATGAGACTACTTGTATATGTGGTAGGTATAGACTCCTAACTCAACAGCCCAGTAGTCCTCTCGGGTGGAAGGAAAAAAAAAAAAGTTCAACTTCCAGTTGGAGTTAGAGCAGGGATTCGACTCCCATTTTTCTTCATGCAGGGAGAGTACCCATCTATTAGATCAGAGGTTACTCTCACATAGGTGCCTCATTCCAAGAAATCTTTGGCTAAATTTATACATCTCCAATTACAAAGTTTAGTGTTATTAAATCATGGTACTTCAAGAAGGAGTTCATACCACCCGCAAATTTTGTACCACATATACTCCAAACTGCAGACAAAAATAGCCACCTGTGCAAGAAAACAGTATTTATTGAATTCACAAACTGATGCGTGACATTCCAAAAATGAGGATCACAGTTTCAGTAGAATACAAAAATTAGGTACTGCAACATCTTTATTCTTTTTTTTTTAAAGGACAAAAAAAAAAACAAAACTGCTTCTCTCAATTTTATCACACTGAATGGTACTGCAAACCTCTAAGAACAAATACCACAAAGCCCATTCATATCACAACTACATCAGTTTCAACTTTGGCATTAGAAATGCAAACATTTTGAGGGCCAGAGGGAGGAATCAAAGATGAAGCGAGATTACTAACCTTCAGGGTACTGCGGTTGCCAAGCTGGCAGTCCTGTAGCACTGGTTCATATTTTTTCATGAAAGCATCCCAGTGACGGTCACTAACAGTAAAGCTACTTTCATAGCCTGAGGTGACAGAAGAGCCTGCAGACACTGCATTTGAGGAATCTGTAGAATATGAAAATGTTGCATCTGTATCTGAGAGAGAGACAGTCTCACTATCCTGTAGTTTATCATTCATTGTGGTTTCATTTTCATACTCCAAATCCTCACTGGGCCTGGAGAAACAATGCAAAGCTCCCAAGTGTTCACAAGCCTGCGCCATCTCTTCTGGCTTCTGCAGACTTCCTGCAGTGCTGGGGTGCAGAACATACTCAGCCTCCCCGATAGCTGACTTGCCTTCAGCACTGCCTACTCCAGAGGCAGCATTCAGGGAGAGCTGTATGAAGCTGAAACTTGAAATAAAGCTATCACATGCACCAACAGAATGAGAAACATCTCTGTTTTGATATTCACAGTTGTTATTCACTTCTGTCTGATCCAAGGCATACATGTTTGGGGGCCTGCTCATTTTAGCACCCTGGCTTTTCTGCCAGTCACAGCATACAGCAGAAACATCTCCCTTGCTTGTTGCTGTCGCAGGATAAACCACCGTCGCTGTGTTCTCTGACCGTGGGCTCATGCAACATGAAAGATTTTTGCAGTGTCCAGCCATATTTCCAGTAGCGGCCAATGATGTCACCCCACTAGCAGGAACTACAGCACTACTGACTTCTCTGTAGCATAAGAATTCAAAGTTATTTTGACATGGTCTGCATAGAGAGCAGTTCTCAAAGTCCCCACAACACTGCCTGCCATGTTTGCACTCTTCTGCGCCAAAGGGTTTGCAGGCACTGAGGGACTGAAACTCTATCTGTCGCTGAGCTTCTGCCCTCATGTATCCAGGTCTTTTTGACAGTTTCTTTTTACAAAGAGAGACAGCAGGCATTAAGTGGTCCTGACCATCTGGAGAAAAAAGAAAAAAAAGTCATTAAACTGTTTCTGCAGTTTTCTAGGCTTAACATATTGCAGCTTCTGAAAATAATTGTTTCAGGAATTTCAAATAGTGTATCGCTTTCTATTTCAACAAAACAAAGGCACTGACCATGCCACAGAGAGAAGAAAATGTGTTGGTGGAGAATGCTATGTGTATTCATGCACTTTCTGAAGAGCTTGCACCTGCTTTTAAGGGAATTTGATAACATAATCACATCCATTAGGACACAAACCTGGGTACAATGAATCACATTGTCTTCCCTATTCATAGCACCGCTCTGTGCTTCTTCACTCTCATTTTGCTGAGCAGCACACCAAAGCACTGACCTTCTTTAAATCTCTCGGACCCAAAATGATTTTCAGACTTACGAGCACATACAGGATGGCCCTGAATCTGCATCATAAAGATGAGAACCAGAATCAGAAACAATTTTGTGCATAATCTGTTGTTTCTCGTGTCCAGTTTCCTGAGTTCATATCCATGTTTTAGTAGCATTAGCAAGTGATTCAGATTCTGCTTCCAGAACAGATGCGACTCTGTAACACTCCGTGGTGGCAGATGTCAGTCTAATGAGATATTTTATTAAGCTGTCATTTAGATTTACTGCACTACCCGTTGTCCAAAATGTAAAGTTAGAGGAAAAGTTTTTCATGCAGGACCATCAGCCCTAGAAAACTAATACTGCCATATGCTTGGTAGCATTACTGCAGTATTAATATCATTAAGAACAACTTCATTTCCCCACATATGCTTACGTAGATGAAAAGATAAATTTGCTGTTTGTAAACAAGAACAAAAAGAATCAAGGTAAAAAACACAACTAACTTTGAAAGTGAGAGAACAGAATGTGATATCTTGTTATTGTTTTCTGTATGCTTCTATAAATAAACAAAAAAAAATATGGGTGAAATATTACATGGTGAGTACTTTCAGTTTCTTATGGATTTACTGGTAGTCAAAAGGTATTCCATTCATCTCTCCTGCACACAATCAGTGTGAACACAAGTTCTGTTTTGTGGAGAGGACTAGACCTATTTGCCAGAATCGTCCTTCAAAGGAATCTAGTAACCAGCTGAATTATGCCCTCCACTCACTGAAACAGAATCAACTGCCAGAATCTAAAGTATTAGAAATATTCTCATCACCCACACAGAGCTCTTCCAGAAACACAAATTTCAGATTATTTTTTTTTACATGCAATATATTTAACATTCATCTCCAGTCACAACCCATTGTCAATTTTTAAATTGATAGTTGTGCACATAATCTAAACTCCTCAGCAGCTCCTAACACAGGTCTCATACATACCTCACTACAACAACATCCTATCCAAAAAATTTAAGCATTAGACCTGAAATTTCCCAGGAGACTTTCCCCGACATTCACTACACACTCTCCAAATAACCTTCAGCCAAAGCAATTTATACATTTTCCACATACTAGAATAGTGGCACATCTCACCACAGGACTGCAGTTACGCTTCTGTATTCTGCTTCCTATCACCATAAATTAGAATACCCCAGCTGTCTCCCACATTCTCTTTTGTAAGAGGAAAAAGCATTACAGAAATCAGAAATGAAAAAGGTCACGGAGTCCATCAGTCAGTCTACTATAAAAAGACAGTGAAATGCTGTACTGGGAGTAATTTAACGGAAGTGCTAACAAATAAGAACTGCTCTTGGAGTAAGGGAAAAAAAATGAACTAAATGTTCTTTAATTCTTTTGGTTTATATACAAAATAAAAGCCTAAATTTGCTTTCAGCAGAAAAAACCAGCCATGCAAGAAAAAAAGTCACTCTAAGGCTGGATATACTTCACTGCCATTTGTGAAGACTAGTCACAGGCCTTGTGTGTGAAAATCAAAAAAGTTCATTGGTTTAATCAAAATTAGTTGAAAATTGATCTTACTGACTCACCATGACTATCTAAAGCAGATAGATAATTACAGCTCTTTAAACACCAAATTTAAACTAAGCTAATGTAAGTAAGATTTAAATTGGCCAAAGCATTTAGATATTTGCACCAAGTGAACTGGATGCAATTCTAAAAACCATCACGGCCAAAGTGGTAAAATTCCAGCATCCTGAACTAGTGCCCACAAAACCCACGTGCCCTTGTGCTCCTCCCAGCATTTGCAGGTAACCCTCTAGAGAGATTTTCCATTCGGCTCCGTTAAAGGCTCTGGGTCTGCCTCCTGGCAAGTCCAGCAGCACAAGCCCCTCACCTGGGTCCCAGAGCGGCACTGCTGCCCGTTACAGTCAAGATCACAGTCCAAGCCAGGAGCCACCCAGAGGATGCTACAACGAGAGAGCTGCAGGGCCTTAGCCCCAGTGTAGCTGCACCCGAGCACAAGGCAGAGAAGGAGAGGACGGACACAGAGCTGGGGCCAGCACCTCAACAGGAACACCCACACCTTCACAGGACACAGGAGGGAGGAGGCGGCTGCAGCCCAATCCCCAGCTCCAGCCTGAGAGCAGCCACGGTGCCCTCGTCCATCACAGAATCCAGCCAGGATGTTACCCTGGCTCTGGGTGCACTCTGCGCACTATCTTCCCTTCTGTCGTGTCCCTTTCTGAAGATTAGAATGATTTCAGTCATTTGACATCAACTAACCCGAAACGTAGTTACAAAGACTGTTTCTCTGCGTAGCTTTCCTACCAGAGCTTGCTTTGCCTGCACACTAGATACGAAATTATGTTGAACCAATTCAGCTTAGCTTGTTAAAAAAAGGCAAGCCTCTATTTTTCTTCTTATAATTCCCCCAGTTTCAAGCATATTAAATTACTCATGGCGATTAACTACAACACTATCAAAATGGTACCTTGGAACACTATGAATCGACTGAAAGCAATTTAAAAAACCCCACATATTATACTATATGATGCGCTGTATGAGAGACACACACTTAGAAAAAGAGAAAAGTCACAGATAGAAGGGTCTTTCAATTATGATGTTACAAATCAACTTTTAAAGAAACATGTTACAATCCTAGAAGATGAAAGATGATGCAACGTATGTTCTAATGTCAGATTATGTGCAAATTGCTCTAAATCCAAATTAGGAAAGCCCAGATATAATTTAGCAATACTTAAAACAGTTCTTTCACCATAATAATCTTTCCTGATGACCAGTATTTCATAAAAACTAACAGCTCAAAGCCAGAGTACAGAAGAGAAAAAGAAAAACAGAGAGAGAGTCTATTGCTATAAAGCAAGGCATGACCAGCAAGGCATGACCAGCAAATGCTGTTCACCTCTCAGTTACACCAGTAAGATGAGAGAGATAAAGCCAAAGAGCATTTCCCACTGATGAAAACAGCACATTCTCTTGCACTCATCTCGCTGCTAAAGGACAGCAGAACAGTCATCTCACTTATTTCAGATAATCAGTCTTTGCTTTCAGCCACAAAAGTTGCAGTCCAGTTTTTTGACCAAATGCCCTAGTAATACCTGTGGAGGGACAGGTGTACCTACCTTGCATGTCTGCAAAGTCCACTTGGACTTTATAGAGCAGCACAAAAACTCTGAAGCAACTACCTCCCCACTCCTGCACTAAACACACACTGCAGAACACACTGAGTTCTCCCTGGAAGTAACCGAGAAACTATCTATGCAGTTAGAAAGGGCACTCACCTTTCTGAATATACCTAATAGTGCACACAGTTGAATTTTACTAGAATAACCAATTCACCTTCAGAGCATTTGTGGATGGTGACTGCCGTGTGGAGAAAAAGATACTTGGTCATATCCAAAGCCAACCACCAAAGCCCTGCTCCAGGCAATTTCTGTAGCACTGTTTCTGTTAAGGAAGCCTTAAACACCTGCGTTAAACTCTACACAAACACACCAAGATGCAAACAGTCATTATGTACAAACAAACACACACAAATGTTCAACCTATCAGTAAAAAAAAAAAGAAAAGAAAAAAAAGAACTATTCTTGGGGATTAATCAATCCAGCATATTTTTATGCCGTAGGAACTGAAAATTGAATGGCAAAATGCTGCAGGTTCCTAATCAGTTATATTTTGACTCATTTGCTGAATTTCAAAGATATGACTAAATATTCAAAACAGGATGGCACTGATCTCAACACAGCCTAAGTTAAAAGAAACCAGCACTTTCTCTTTACATGAGTAAGCTTGCAAAGAAAGTTACTTCTGAATAAAGATTTTTGTAACTCTTAAAATCCAAAGGTCTCATTTTTCACCTTATTTGTCGCATGTTACCAAACTTTGATTTATCTAATCTTTTATAAAGCGTATCTATAGACTGAGCGTATCTATAGGCTGAGCTACATTATATTTGATATCATTCACAAGTTATTTCCTCAACAAGGGTTCCTGTGATTTCCAAGATTGCAGGCTGGATTCAGTCATTCAACTGCTAAATTTTCAAGTTGTCACATATGAAATATATTCTGGAGTCATTAAATGCATGTTAGTTTCTATTCCTCATTAAATAACACTTCAAAGAGCTGTGCATTTTAGAAGTCAGAGTAGTCTTCCTTAGCCAGTGTTTAAATAATTGTATTTTTATTGACACACTCCCATAATGTGCATGTCATTGAGTTGTTACATTTGAACCACTTACCCCCTTAATGCAACAATTCATTTCAAGCCATTTGATGAAATTGCAGCACCTCTAGAGTAAGAATCACATTAGCTGACAGCAATTTCAATAAGTTCATCAAATTTTTCCCCCTCAAATAAAAAAAAATAAAAAAATGTTTTAAACCTGGATCTGCCTTAACACTACAAAAAAAAAAGAAATCTATTAAAAAGCAAGCTGGTAAATATCAAACACTTCTCATGTCAGTAGTGAATCACCTGTATAGTCAGAGTCAGTAAGAGAAGCATCCTTTTCCTTAATTGTATATTATAATCATGTTCGATACTACCAACACTTTAAAACCCATTTTCATTCATCAGCATTCAGCAGTGCATTGACTACACACAAAAGCAGGCTTTTTTCTCAAGCCAGTGCTTTGCTGAATCAGGGCCTATGGGTCTTGATGTGACAAAAAGAACAGAAATATGCCTTTTTGATCTATTCAAATTTTAAAATATAATAAGGATCCAGCTTGCAAAAGCATGCAGTTGCACTGTGAAGGTCTATTTGATAACTAATCAACACCCTATGGCTGTCAACCTGAGACCCAAGGCTTGGCTATTACAGAAAACTGCACTCTAAGCTGAGTGAAAATCACACCACCCAACTTCTCTGCTGCAAGATTCCTGTTTTCCCAGGAACATTTGTTGGCTGAAAAAACCAAGTGGTCAGATTCACTCTAGAACAGTCAGGTGACTCCACCCTGTCTCAATAAAGCAGATAACATGATACTGTCAAAAAAAAAAAAAAAAAAAAGACATTTCTGCGCTTTTCATTTCTGTTT